ATATAAGAGGTGTGTGGGGCCTTGAGGGGGTCATTCCACATGATTTTTAGAAATTAAAAGAGAGAAAAGCATAGGCTTTTGGAGCCCTAGTGTGGAGAAGAAACCATAGGTTTCTTTGAATTGTGTTTGTGTTTGGTTTTGTTTCTTGCTGATTTTACTATTCCCTTCAATTTTTCTACATCAGTATTGCACCTTGTCTTTATTTTCAACTGGATGAAATACTCATTCTCTCCCAGCATAAGAGTACACCTTGGATTTACTTTCACAAAAGGCTTGAAGGTTGCAAGTCATCATGACCCTTGAACCTATTAACCGATTCATCAAACACTTGAGCAAAAGAAGGTGAACTTGTGTCTAATACATGGTAATAGCTCAGTGGAGCACTACAATACCTGCCATTCACTTGATCAGACACTGCTTTTGTGGTGAACCAGGTCTCCTAATTTATGCATGCTTCGTACTTTACTCATTTTGAAGTGGTGAAACACTTCGCTATATTAAAATAACAACTAGTGATGACCTACTATATAGTAGAGGAGATTCTTATTCCAATCCTCTCACCAATGTGGCTTATTACTATAACTGATTGGGCTGGAGATCCTGAATTCTGTCGCTCCATATTTGGTTATAGTGTTTTCTTGGGACAAAATCTTGTTCATCAAGTAGTAGAAAACAAAGAACCTCACTAGTATGAGCATGGAAGTCGAATTCTGATCTATGGCAGTAGTAGCTGCTGAAGTTACTTGGATTCGGCATCTTTTGATCTCCCATGCTTAGAACATCTCACAGTTGTTACATAATTGTGATAATCGTAGCACCATTTTAATTTCTCTCATCCCAGTCCATCATGGGAGGACTAAGAACATTGAAATTGATCAACTCTTCATCGGAGAAAAGACTGAAGATCAAGTTGTGGCGAGAATCATCGGTTCTGAAAATCAAGTTGCGGATATATTTCTGATGCAGGGAAGATGGAGGGAATAAATAATTAAAATAAAACTGATAATAAAGGGTGAGAGATTATACTCTCTTTCTTGGTCGGCAAAGGAGTCTACCCCAAAAGATCTTTTCACAAGATCAACTTTACTCAATTCCAATCTCTTCTTTACAGTGAGGGACTCTTCCCTTTAAATACACTTGGAAGGAAATAAATAGATAAATAAAACAATCCGCAAAAAATAGACTCTCTCTTATCTCTTTCTCTCTAACTCCCACGTAAGTTTCTATTTCTATCTATATCTCTAAATCTCATGTGATCTTCTCTTTCTAAAAAGATAATAAAATGTAATTTTTAGTTATCGTAAAAGATAAGCTATTTCTTAAACCAAAAGATAGGCATTCCTGGGTGACAACCCATGCCCCTACTAATACTCACGCACAGAAATCTTCCCACCTAACTTATCTCAGAGCATTCCTATTCTTAAGAAAAATAAGCAAAAAAATAATAACACTAAAATTTTGACAAATCTCCTTCCGTACCATTCTCCCGGGGTTGGGAGAAGCTCGACTTCGATCTTATCGAACTCAAATCCTTTAGAGGCCTTCTCTAAAGTTGGTGATGAAGTCCCACCATACACATCAACACTTTTTCTTTAATAAATTGATTTGATTCATAGAATACTTTTTGCTCATATTTAAGTAGAACACTGGGACCTCATGCTCTTATGATTTCTTTTTCTTTTTCAAGTTTATTGTAAAATATGGGAAGATCAAGTTGAATACAAAGATTATGAGGATGCTCCTCAGATCGTGGTTCTTGCATCACAATATGATCATCACATTTAGGATCGGCACAGTTAGTTAGTCGTGGGTCTCAATTCATCTCTACCACGAAATCTGATGTCAGATCTTCATGGTTGCAAGTACCCTCTTCACGATGAACATTGGTCTCCAACCGTTGTAACCGCTGATTCATTTCATGAAATTTGGTTCGAACATCCTCCATAACTTTAGTCAAATTTTCTAAAACTTGTCTCAGGCGATCATCTATTGCAGGATTAGCTTTTGGTGGTATTGCAATTGTTGGATCTTACTTGCTCTGATACCAACTAATGTTAGGGAAGATGGAGGGAAGAAATAATTAAAATAATAATAATAATAAAGAATGAGAGATTATACCCTCTCTGGGTCTGCAAGGAGTCCACCCCAAAAGATCTTTTCACAAGATCAACTTTACTTAATTCCAATTTCTTCTTTACAGTGAGGGACTTCTTCCTTTAAATACACTTGGAACGTAATAAATAAAACGCAAAAAATAAACTCTCTTATCTCTTTCTCTAACTCCTACGTAAGTTTCTATTTCTCTAAATCTCATGTTAACTTCTCTTTCTAAAGAAGATAATAAAATATAATTTCTACTTATCTTAAAAGATAAGCTATTTCCTAAACCAAAAGATAGGCAATCTTGGGTGACAACCCAGGCCTCTATTAAAACTCACGCCTAAAAATCCTCCCACCTAACTTATTCCCGAGCGATTCCTATCCTTAAGAAAAATAAACAAAAAAAATAATAAAACTAAATTTTGACAAATCTCTTTCTGCATGAGTTTCACCTAAGTCCTCATACAGAAAGGATATTGGTTTCTTAAAGCCAAGTCATTGATGGTTCAGACAAGTGTTTTAAACATTGGTGACCCGATCCGAAATCAGGCTATCCGGATCCGGTATTGCCCATCCCGTCCCGGATCTCTTTTAAAAACGGGATTTGTTTGTGTCAATATAGTAGATCGGTTGCAGGATGTCATCAACTAGACCCGTCACCGATTCTAACGTCATGAGACCGGTTTTCTTTGTTAGGAAACTAGTTTTGACATCACATTTTTCTGATCCAGTTCACAAAGGGCACTCTCAAATTTTTTTATAAAACTAAAGGTACAACTATCGACCATAAACGTACTTCCTCGCCACATCGCGTGGCAAACTTCGGCCATGCCCGCCAGCCAGCTGTTCATCCACCTGTCATCCGTATTCCCTACTATGGTTTCCCGCACCCTATAGCTGTCTATTATGAACCTTTTACACACGATTAAACTTTTGTAATTTCTGGATGTGGGACAAATTGTCCCTTTCTCCCATAACAAAATCACTCGTGCTATTGTCTTCCATAACATTAGCGTCTCTCTCTCTCTACTATAGTATTTTAATTATGTAAATATGACCACATTAAAGTTATATTGTTGAATGAATATGATTATGTAAAAATTGTTAACTTCTTTAATATAATTATATTAAAATTGTTATTGCTATATTGAAATTTTTATTGTTATAAATGCATTAAAACATCACATAATTTAATATATGAAATTGCTATATTATGTAATAAATTATTATTGTCATACAGATTATGTGAGTTTCATGTTTAGTCTAGATTATAATTTTAAATAATATTTATAATTTTTACAACGATTAACAAATAACTTATTTTTAAATTTTTATTATTACAATAACTTACTTTATACAGCAATAAAATTTAAGATAATTATGAATTTTATTAAGTTATGTAGAAATTCTTAAATCGTGTTTATTATAATATTATAATTAATAATTATACATTGATAAAAAAATCTTATATTTGATTTAGAATTTATTTTCATTATAAATTACGTAATGTATTATTTTTTCTTATAGTTGTAAATAATGTTTTTTAATTTAGATGATATTATACAGGGAAAAGTTTATATAGAGCCAAGGCTCCAAACAATCAAATTTGAGCCTACTTCAAAAATTTCACCAAAAGATGTTTTGATGCCCAAATATCTTCAAATGGATCATCTTGACATCAAGATGCGTGGACATCAGAAAAAAATGGATTTCAAATTTTGGAAATAGTGCATTTTGTAACGCATATTTGGACTGTCAATTTTCAAGATTTTATAGATTTGTCGATCTACACTATTTTTAAAGTTTTAAACTTTATAAATAAATATGAAAATATATTTTAAGGCTATCACAAAGATTTCCAATATTGAAACCACATTTCTCGATACTATTTGAAGGTAGGCTCTAATTTGATTGTTTAGAGCCTAGGCTCTATACAAACCGAATTTTTTGTTATTTTTATAGAAAATAATTATAAAATATACACCAACAACTTCAATTTCAATTTCAATATATAATATTATAGGTAGTTAGGTTGTGATAATTTTGGACGAGTAAAGAGAAATAATAAATGTTTGATATAATACTAATTTTACTTTATATGGGATTTTTTTTTAATCGTATAATATAGAAGCATTTTTTAATATTTTTAAATTATTTGTTGTAATATTATAATATTTATTATAATTAATAATTATACAGACATCCAGACAGGAAAATAGCGTCTCAGTATTTACCTATTTTTACAAATTAATGAAAGTACATAATATACCACTCCTAATTTTTTTAAAAACTAAAAGCACACTATTTTTAGAGATTTATAGTGATTTTTCAAAATAAAATTGGGACAAAAACTGCCGATTAGCCCGATTCTCCGAATCGATCTACCGATCTGACACAAGTATGGATGTAAATGATTTGAGTCACCAATCCATTTTTTTAAACACTGTTTCAGACCATGACACAACTTGCCCTTAGGGAGAGAAAAAAGGAAAAAGAAAGGGGGGGTATTAGCAATACGAGATATTTTGTCCTTTTATGGGCATAGTTGTAATTTACTATTTTTGTTTCTATTATTCCTATAAATGTCCCTGATTGTAATCTCTTGTGTGCATATGAGTCTCCACATCAATTGAGTGGACAGACTCATGCTCCTTCTCTTCCACCCACTATTTCTTTTCTCTTATGTTCTTTGCTGTCGACAAGTTTCACACTATGAACTGTCCGTGACCAAATGTAGTGCAGATTAACTGATCTTGAGAGGTCGATAATAGAGAAAAGTAAAAATCTATCAATTGAATTTGGTTACCAATGTAATCATTTACTTTTGTTATGCCATAGATAGAGTAAACTAGTATTTCTTTTGTTTATCATCACTTGAACTAATTTTATATTTTACCTAGTTAACTACAGAAGAATGCATTTGAATGGGGGTTACCAAATATTCCTCACTCTGAAGATGCTGTGCAAGTGACTCAACATGTTGCCAACTTTTTCATCAGGTGTGGTTTCTTCCTTTATCAGGTGGTGTTCATTGTAAATGATTAATCATCTGGTACACATGTTACTGACATCAAATCTTGTAAAACCACATACTATACCCATGTACAGCATATAATGATGGGATGTCTCTTGTTTTTCAAAACCTTACTCGTTTCTGTTTCAATATTTCCAGATTACTACTTTGATGGGACAACCCTGAAATCTGAAATGAGATAACTGCTTTGATTTCTTCAGAATGACATAAATATTCTATTTCTTTTGAATGGATATGTGATCAAAGATGTATCTAAATGTTCTGAATTTGACTGGAAATCCTGGAATATGCTGCCCATAGATAGTTTTTTGTGGATATTGAATCACTATTTTGAGTTGATATTGCTACTTATGTTTTGTCAACGTACTAAATTATTCTGGCCATGGTTTTACAACAATTGAAGAGATGGATTCTCTATCTCACTAGAAAATGACAATTTGTACTATTTTCCTTTCAATTTACAATGTTCTTTCTAGCAGCTCACCCCACACATTATCGGTTAAAAATATGTAACCAATCATGTGTTTACCTTCAAATCTTATATTCCTTTCTGAAGAATTTATCAATTGTAGAGCTCATAGTCATTTAATTTATTTAAAATACATGGTTACTGCATTTCTTTGTCTTTTCAAAGCACCAAAATGTTTCATTCAATTAATGGAATAAAATGGATCTTCATTTTGTCCTTGACCCACTGTCACCATATTTCATGTCAAATATTGGTCGCAGTGAAGCACGAAAGTCCTCAAACAGGCCACCTACGACAAGAGTACTGGATAACCTCATTTACAATCACAGTCCCACTTATTGTGGGAAGGCTGGGTGAGCCCATTACTTTCTTTTTGTCCAATTATATTGGGGAACATCTATCCTACTTGTTTTTTTCCGCTTTCTTGCTCCTACTGCTACTACTACTATTAGTATTTTTTTAATCTATGTTCAATAGTATTACTTCCATGGCTATTATTAGTCTTAGCTTTTCAATTAATTTCCTTACTCTTATCTTTGTGCTTGGTTGAATTTCAGGAAAGGATATGATGAGGTTTATCTATTTCCATGAACTTCAAGTAGCTGAAAATCAAAAATGAGGAAAAGATGGCAGAAACTTGGTCAAATATTTTGAAATTGATGCATTCCTTCTGTAAAATATGTGCTCTGAGTGTCAATTCATCAGCCCTGTTGAGGACTCTATTCTTATTGTGAAGCATTATGCTTCTTGTATGTTCTGTAAATATGCGTTGCTGTAAACTGAATAAAACCTTCTTGAACTCAATACTTGCAGTAATGCAACTATTCCATAAGTAGAACACTTGCTGTTTTTAAATCTAAAATAATGTTATTATTATTATTATATTTTTTGGATATATAATATTAAACTCTAGTAAAACTAAGTCCAGGTAGTTGTTTAACTATCTTGTCCACTTTCTTGTTTAGTTTCCTAGATCGCATCCAATTTAGGAGCCATACTTGCAAAATTCTAAACAAAGCAGTAACCTTGACAGGTACGGTGGTGGTTGTTATCTGATGAAGTTTGAGGTAATTAATCTTGAAAAGATGGCTAAGGTTTGATTGTAAAATGTCTCATGTCTGGCCCCCACTCTTTGAAGCCCGTGGCAAACCTCTTTGATCTGCAAATTATCTTTATTCAAATGTAAATAAGGGCAGTTACATTGCAAGTTACTCTGGTCCCCCCTCTTTGATGCCTGTGGCACACCTCTTTGATCTGCAAATTATCTTTATTCAAATGTAAATAAGGGCAGTTACATTGTGAGTTACGTGGAATGTGATTTTCAGGCATGAGAAATACCAAGAAGTTGTACTCTTCATGTTCCTCATGCTGGAAATGCATACCCCTAATATTTGCATAAAAGCATCATTCTCCATGTTCTTTTATTTTATATATTGTGATCTTATCCATAGATTTTCATCTAGGGCCAATATGTTCAAGTGCAAATTATACTTCAATAAATAGATAATATGACTCGAACTTATTTGACTGGAACATAATGTGGAACACCTATGTATGCCTATGTGTATGTGAGATGCTTGCATACACAAAAAAATTGCAATTTGTTATTGTTGTTTTTTCTTTCTTCAACTTGGAGCCTGTGGAGCCCTTGAAGTTAAAGGAACGTCATTGTGTTCCTGATTTCTGGCTAGGCAACCTGTTGCTAGTTTGCAGAAAACAGAGAAAGGTTCTAGAAAAAAACATAATCTCTTTACCCAAAATGGTAAATGAAAGTGTTATGGAATAAGGCATAAGGCCCATGACACAGGGATAAAGTAATGCATTTGTATTGGCATTGAACCCTTAGTCTAGTGCAATACAAATCTGATTCTTCACCATCGATTGCAATTGTTTGAGATTAAAGAAAAGACCGATACATTTCAGTTGTTTCGTGATATTTCAAGGACTTGTAACCAAACCTGCCTGAAAGCCCTAATAATGACGTCCTGGTATTCATCTGGGTTCAGGTATAAATATGAGGCCAGCAGTTCCTCAAGCTCTTCTGGATTTCCAATCTCATTCTGAGAGATCATCTCCACCATCGATTCTCTAAAGTCTCCTTCTGCATCCATTGTTCTCTTCACCACTGCCTCGCTCTCTGCAACTCCTTTTCCTTTGATAGTTCCCTGTGTCAAATGGTTATTTCTAACCTTAGGTATCATGCTTCCTTCGAGCCCTTCCTCTCTCTCCAAGGGTGGCTCTTTAATTATGTGATTTTTTACTGCCATTAGTTCTGGACTCCCATTAATATCTTTTGTTCCTTTGGAATGTGCATCTGTGATCCTCTTGCCTTTCACTGCTTGTAATTTTTGGCATTTCTTGAACTCTTCTTCTCTCTTCAATGGTGGTTCCTTGATCCTCTGATCTTTTTGGTGTGGTACTTTTGGGCTCTTCTTTAAATTTTCTGCTTTCCTTGATGGTGGAACTTGGACCCTCTGATTGTTTACACGTGGTTTATTGGTCCTTCTAGAAGTGAAGCGTGTTGTCATGATATCTTCCTCCGCAAATCTTTGATCTACTTTTCTTGATTGAGTTCTTGTAGGTTTCCAATGTTCTGTTAGATGTATTGGGTCTTCTTTTATGGTACATACGTGATTCTCTTCGTCAGTTTGTATATTTGCTTCAAAAGATTGAAAATCTCCAAATTCTGGTTCGCCTTTTGCCTCTCTTTGATCTGCTTTTTTGGAAGTTGACCTCCTGAAATTATTGCTCGAGTTCCACGCAATTTTCATTAACGCTTCTTAGGGCTTTGCGATCTTCTTGTTGCAATCTTTGATCACCCTTTTCCGATGCAAGATCTGTAACCAAGTAAAAAACAGGGCACAATGTACTAAATAATAAAATATTTACTTGCCAACAAACTCCTAAAAATTAATCCTAAATAAACTGAGTTTCTCTGCAAATTTAAGTTTTCTTTTGCATATAAATGTATGTTCTTTATAACAATTGTAATCCAATACTTACAGCTTCTTTCTTTTATGGGAGGACCAGGAGATTCAAAACTAAAGTTTTTGCATGCTTCCTTTGTCGAAAAGTTCTGAGAGTTTCCGTTTGTAACATATATATAGAAACCCTTCTTCACCGCTCTTTCGTCGTTGACTGTTCTATGTCGAGTACCAGATCCATGGCTTTTCAAACTCCTATTTTCTTTGTAGTACACATCTGTTCTTTCCTTATCTAGAAACTGTAAAGTGAGTGTTCCACAATCCTCTGCCTTAAGAATTTCATTCTTTTTATTAATAGCATCAACTTCTATTGTTTCTGATGCTTTTGGCTCTTTAAAACTTTTTCTACTGTGATTTCTTCCTTCTATGCTTCTTAAGCATGAATTGGACCAACTTTTCCTTTGATCTGTGCATTTAGCAGATTTTTCTTCATTGTCCTTTGCTTGAAAACTGTTTCCCTCTCCGTTTGAATGTTTTCTGGCCAAATGATAAGATTTTCCAGTGGACTCATCAGCAGAATCCCACCCATTATGCAGAGATGTTCCTGCAACATTCACCAGAATTTGCTGTCCACCTCCACCCAAAGTTCTTGAAGAAACACTTGATCTGGGACTATCACAGCCATCACTCAAACTCCTTCTAAAATTCACAGATTCAGAAGAACCATCAATATTTGCTTTAAAGGATTCATTCTCGTCAAGAAGAGGAAGCAATGAATTGTTTATCAGTTCTTCTGATCCATCTTGTTCTGGACTGATGTCACTGTTGATATTAACCGGAGACAGATTTGAACTTGAAAATTCAGAGAGAACGGCGCTTTCACTGGAATTGTAGAATCCATCATTAACCAACTTTCTTCTGCAAGTAAATTTCTGGTTATTAGAGCAATTTGTACGTTTGCTGGTTAGATCGGCTGCATTCTTGAACTTGAGGAACCAGTCGTAGGGGTTGGGTAGAGAGGCAAAACAGCGAGATTTCTTCTTCCCCATTTTGGTCCATAAAGAGGAGGACTCTTCTGATGCTTTGCACTCTGTCTCTCCAAATCTTCAGAAAAAAATCAATCTCTGTCTCTCTCTCTCTCCAAGTATTGAGTAAGAGAGGGAAGACTTGGAGAGCCGTTTTAGCAGTTACAAGACGTGGGTTTGAATTATGCCAAGCCATTGTAGTTCAAAATTATTGGAAAAGGAAAGCAAATGGACCCAAAAAAATTCAAAAATACTAAAAAATTTATACGAGATACCGGAAAATTAGTTGTAAACTATTTTTGAACCGTAAAAAAATTAAGTAAAATTTCTCATCTTGTACTAACCATTGTTCACCTGGTGTTTCTTACTTTCTATTTTTGTGAAGAATAAGCATCATTATATTCATTGTAAAAATCTAGAAATGGTTCACCTACTAATGCTAGAGGATGAAGTTTTTGGAACGATAATACTAATTTTTATAAATAATTTAAAATTCTTAAAAACATTGCAGGACTAGACTCAGCCAAGGGAGTCCAGTAGGGCCAAACGCCCTATAAATTTTTTAAAAAATATAAAAATGGAAAAATAAAATAAAGATAGGAAAAGTAAAATAAAACAAAAAGAAGTCTTAAAAAGTCCATATAAGCTTAAAATATATAGAAAACGGATTAAAGTGATTATGGTTGGTGACATTGAAAAAATCCAAAAAGGGAAAAATGTAAAAGGAAAAAGTTTATATAAGGCTGCAACTTTACAATTATAATGTAGAACTATAGATGCACCTTCAAAATCCATCGGAACAGGTAGTTTTAATGTTGAAACATCCGTTGGTTGATCATCTCGACATCGAGATGTATGAGCATGAAAAAATAAAAAGATTTAAGTCTCAGAAATAATGCATTTTACAACATATTATCTCCTCTGTCGGTTTTCAAGATTTTCATATGTTTATAGATCTACTTGATTTTAACTATTTTTAAAATTTAAATTTTATAATTAGATATAAAAATAGATTTCGAGATAATCCAAAAGACATTTTACATTAAAATTATATACAGTGATAAAATTTGAAGGTGCACCTTACCTCTACACCTACGGATGCATCTGTATGCCTACTGCATCCAATATAAAAATAGGAATTGTAGCAAAAAATACTCACCAATCTTTGCCAAAAACAACAAAACAAAAATTTTATACGACATTCCATATTTTTACTATTTCTTGTATTTTTTAAATTTTTTTATGTACATTAATTGTACACACAAAGGGTAACTCTAAGGCAAGGCCAAGTTACTCGCTCGAATCGAGTGAACTTGGGAGAGTTCTGTAACACTGTTCGAGAATAAATCATAAATGTAAATAAAAACAATAAAATTTAGAATTTAGGGACAAAGGATTTCAAAACTGGTATTCATTTTTTATAGTAAAAGAATGTATTTTCTTAATATAATAACTATTAATTGAAATTAATTGTATTTAAAAATTTTATAAATTCGTTACAAATAATTTTTTAGAACCTAAAACTTATTAAAAAATATTGAGTTATTTAATTTATAAGGAAGAAAAAGGGAAAAAAAGAAGAGTTTCATATTTCTTGTTTCTTAAAAAAACTCAGCACAATTTCTAAGAAGCATTAAAAAAGTCATTATGAAAAATTTGAAAATTAGTCAAACTATTTTCAAAGAGTGATAATATTTGATTAATACAACATTAAAATTTTATATTTGGGAAACTGGTAAAACAAAAAGGAGTAATCAATGAAACTTTAAAAAACCATTTAAATTTTAGAATTAAGAAAATTAAAAGAATTTAAAACATGTTTGCTATTTTATAGTAAAGGTACCATAAATTATTTTAGATATTTCAAAACTATTAATTTAAATCTGCTAGAAATGTTAATTTTTAATCGCCATAGTTTAGTGCAAGAACGTTTTGCGTCTTGGCCTCGCTCCATGGACAAGGCAAGTTTTAGACGCGTAGGTTGTATATTATGTCTTTTAACTTAATTATACTAATATCCCAAATCTAAATTAGATGTGCTAGAATGCCTTTTTGTTTGTACTATTGTATAAAGTTCAACGCTGGTAGGGTTCAAATCTTGTACTAGACAACTTTTTACATCACTTTTAAAAACGTCCTTTTTTATTTTTTGGAATTTTTAAAAAAATAGCCCTTACCATAATGGAACTCACATCACTTTTAAAAACGTCCTATTTATTTATTTATTTTTTTTTTTTTGTTGGAGTTTAACAAAAAAAAGTACTCTCTACCAAAATGTAACTCAGAGGTCTATTTACAGGGAGCACTACCCATCACACCAATCTGTTGCTTGATGATAAAAAGGCGCTCATATTATAGCTATATTTGATCTTCATTTTCTTTAAAGAAAATGAGCTGGACTTGAGTGAGTTACTCGGACTTGCCCGAGTAAACCACCTCAACTAGAGCCTGAGGATCAATTTTCTAAACAATGGTATTGGCATTTTCGTTATTTATTAATTTTATTTATTTTTAAATATTTTTATAGGCAGGTGATGATGTCATGTACAAACATATCAAATCTAAACTTAATCCGATAAATAGAAAAAAATAAAAATTAAAATACACTTTATGTTTTTAAAAAGTGGGCTTATCATACTTTGGATTTGTGAATTTGGAAAAAATTAAAAATTTTATTGAATGGAACTCCCTCATAGATTAAAATATGGATATAACTGAACTTTGGGAACCTCGATAATAACATTGTGGAATACGATCCCATACTAGGGATCTGCACCTTTGTAGATATGAAACTCGATCCCTAAATATCAAGGATCTCAATCTCTTCATTTGCCCATATACAGAACTCGTTCCCTCCACCACGGATGGAACTAGATCCTAGAGCTTCTTTCGCTTCTGCCCCTAGTAACTATGGTTTCCCTATCCATCCATTCAAAATGGACAGTCCACAACTTATTTTTCATATTGTCATAGATAATATTCATGGGCCCCATTACAGTTTCTCTTCATGAGATTATTTTCTAAGCCGGTTAAGCTATTATAAAGTTCTAACCCCTTTTCTACGCTACCCATCCAAATGGACGGCACACATTTGAGTTTGGCAGTGGCAATGGATTTGAAGAATCTCCCACTTTTCTTATTCAAGGAGACTGCTTTTTTTAAGACCAGACCCTGGTAAGGATGTTTCTCGATCCCCGTAGGCTAGAAAAGGTAAATCTCAATGTGGGGGAACATTACAGTCTAACCAAAGTGTTTGTTTTTTCAACCAACAAAAAAAAAGTGTCATGATCAAACTTTGATTTAAAGTTCGGCTTGGATTCGAGTTTATATGATACTGGGGGAAGCCCTTGATGCAAAAAAGTGATTTAAAATTCCACATACCTATCGATTCTTCTCGTTTATTTCACCAATTTTTCACATAAGCATATGGGCCCACCATTGCGATGTGGGTGGGGCCCATGAGTGCCACCTAAGGTGGCATGATTTCCAATTTTTTTGGATCAAGCTTTGGCTTGAAGAAAAAAATTTGTAATGTTTTGAAAAGCCTTTGCCTTAAGGAAGCTTTAAATGGATATTTTAGAAAGCATGAGAGCTATCTCTATCCCTGACTTGGTCTTGGCTGCTCCTCTCGTAATCATGCCGGTCACTTTCTCTCTCTAGGTGCCTCGACTTGTACAAGTCTCTATTGTCTCGGTCATCATTCTCATGCCTTCAATCTCGGTCTCGATCGCTCTCGTTCCGATCTCGCGGTGGGGGCAACGTTTAATGAACTGGTGAGGAGTCACGGGTCGAGGTTCGATGTGGGGCTCGTTGACCAAAAGAGACAGAGGGAGATGCTTTCACAGAGGGGGGCCTTCGTGCAGTGTCATCAGAGCCATGGCAGTGTGATTCACCAGTTAACCCCAAGTGCTTTGTGTGGAGCTTGAGCCTCTCCAGGTGGGCCACCATTTGGCGCATGACGGGGACTGGGGTGCGGGGAAAGAGGGTGTCGAAGTAGTACTGCAAAATCAGATGAGGTCAGATAGGCCAAGACATGGGCTCTACAAAGAATGGATCTACTAAAGTTGTTGAAGTTGCTCTCTCTCTCTCTCTCCTTATCCAATGGGTAATTGCTCATGGAATATCATATAAGCTACAAGAGATGCACTAGGCAGATCCAACCTCACAGATATTCATCAAAGACACATGAAAGAAGTTCATTAGCCAGGGAAAGCTAGACAGATATTCGTACTCATTCAGGAGCACAGACAACACCACAGCAAACAGTTGGGATGTCAGGTCACATTTTCTGTATACTAAAATTCCCATTCACGATCATCTTAAACGCATACTCATCCATGTAGTCTAATACCTGGTCAGGCTCTCAGTCAAAACAGGCATCAAAAGATCAGTCAATAATATGGCAGAAGAAAATTGCCAATTTTTGAGCAACAGGTGCGCCTCAGTTCTGTTACGTACAAATGTGAACTGGGAAGAATTCAAGCAATCCTAATAAAGCCAAAAATGATTGTGAATAAGAATTATGTTCAATATAGTAGACTTCTTCCTTGCCATAGATGAGGAAGAAGTCTATAACATTCTACCATCAAGAAATTTTTTTGAAGAGGACTAATTTAGAAAATGAGGCATTCTACTTGATGCATGGGAATCAGCATGCTTCATTTGAAAATGACATGGGAGAAACATTTGAGAAAGAGTACTAATTTAGAAAAGGGTGCGGTTTGTATCGAGCCGAGGCACTAAACAATCAAATTGGAGCCCACTTTCAAATAGTGTCGCAAAAATGTGGCTTTAATACTGAAAATCTTTGACTGGCCTTAAAACATAATTTAATCTTTTATTATAAAATTTAAAGCTTCAAAAATAATATAGATCGAGCAGATCTATGAAAACTTGAACAACTCAAAAATTGACGGTCCAAAAATGCGTTACAAGATGCACTATTTCCAAAACTTGAAATCCATTTTTTTCTCATTCCATGCATCTTGATGTCGAGATGATCGATTTGACGATATTTGACTAAGCTCTATGTCAACTTTTCCCTTTAGAAAATGAGGTGTTTAGCTTGATGCATGGGGTTCATGAAGTTGAAGCTGAAGGCAGTGCTTCATTTGAAAATGGGGGGGGTGGGGAGAGAGTCCTCGGCAGAACTGCTAGAGTGG